TGATATACCTATCTTTTCATCGATATTAAAATTTATCGTTTCATCGATATTAAAATTTATCGTTTCTTTAGATATTAAATTAGAGGATTCTGAGTGCAAAAACGTTATAAAAGTATATCGTAAAAAATGGATAGCTGCAAACAATAATGATACTCATTTCCTTTTTTTTTTAAATTGAAACAAAGAAGTGATTTAAGTACAAGACGGCCACAAAAAATGCTGATATTTATAATTAAAACCCCATTAAACCTGCGGCAAAATATTCACCTGATGAACCTTTAGCATTATTTATTGATAGTGAAAAAGGCTGCCACATATATCCTAAAAACATTGATGTAAATGAATAATTAGTATACCGCAAAAAGATCTTTTAAACCACACTTTTAACAGGCTGTGTGATCTACTAGCTCCTGCGCTAATCACAATACTTAATAAATTAACTAAACTGGCGTTTAAATGCAATCCTGGATTTGATGGTGCTACAAGCCATAGTGTTTACAAACAGGTAAGTCAAAATTAAAACTGTTAACAAAGTCTAACGAATAAGTGCTTGTTTCTTAATTGCTTAGTACATTTAGAACTCAGTGAACTTTACGATAATAAAAACGTCGTAACATTATTAAGGTTATGCGGTTAAGGTTTTTTTCGATTCGGTTTTTTTCGATTCGGTTTTAAAAACAAAAGTAACACTTTAGTTTTTTTCGATTTGGTTTAAAGTATTTTTTGATTGGTTCGGGAAACCCCCTCAATTTGAGGGGGTTGCAAACTTTATATAGTCATAACTTTTAAACACTAAAATATTTTACTATGAAATTTAAAATTTCTCGATGAATATAAGTCTAGTTGAAAATAATACAAAAAAATTTTCATCTATAAGATTTTGGGCTAAGATTTTAGGATTTCTTGTTTCCATTCTCCTATCACAGTAATTTTTTTTTTTTAAAGAATCTTTTCGTCATACATATAAACGTAAAAAAATTCGGAATATTCTTGTTGTTTATAAATTGGTTATTTCAAACATTTAAAAACCTTCCTACGCCACTGACTGCCACAGTTTATTTTGTAAGATTTGGAAATTTTACATTTTGCTTCAAATTTACTTGACTTTTCAAAAAATTTACAAATATCACTTTCTTTCAGCATCTTTAATGTGAATAAAATAAAAATGATTTGTGAGACAACCAAACTGTATAATAAACATAAATAAATAAACATAAATAAAAACTTAATTTTGAAAGAGTATAATATCAGATAGCAAGATATATAAATTTAACTTGAGAATTTTTTAAAATTTTTCAAAAGTATTATAGTTATTTTTTAGAACATTATTAGCTAAAATTCAAATATGAAATTGTTTTACGTCTTGCATGCTCCTAAAGGCATTATTAATATTTAAACAACAAATTTTTTTGATTAGGGGAGAGGGCCTTTGAACACTTTTTACACTTTTTATTATAAATCAAAAAAAAATTATTTTAACAACTTTTTTTGTTTTGAACATAAAATTAGAAGTTTTTTGTTTTGAAATTTCTATAAGGTTTCAATTTTTTTCTTTCTTTTCTTTCTTGGGTGTCAGTAAGAATCTTAGATTTCCTACTTTTCTGCCTTTATTAGTTTTTTTACGAGGTAGAGCTTTTGGATATTGTCTTACTGATTCAGGTGTTATTGTGTGCTGTGATTGTAAGACATTACTTATATTTATTTGCTCATCATCCTTAGAATCAATGTCATTGCAAAAAGCAAGGCGGGAAAATAGATATATTCTAGGTATGGAAAAACCTGCAACAATATTCCTGGCAATATATGTTGTAGTATATACTGGTGTCACTATGCCAACTAAATTGTGTATTGTTATTGTTTTCCCCGGATTGCGTACATGCCAATCATTCTGAGAAATAGACAATTTTTGCTTGAAAGGACCATTAACTGTCACATCCAAAGGTTTCATTCTGTGTGTGCAGTGAGGAGAAAATGTTAAACCACCATTCTGTTTTCAAAACAATAATTGGTGGCATCTAATGTACAATGGCTTTCATGATTATCCATTAAGAGTAAAACAGGATCCTCTTTTGAACTAGTTTTTTTATATGTCCTAGAACCTTTAAAAACAATGACCCAGTCATCCAGCCACTTTTTGGACTGTTTGCATAACCAATACAATCAGGAAGTCCTCCATTTATCATGGTGATATAAAACCATGCTCTTGGAAATATGAAAACAGGTAGAACGAAATTTCTTATGGAATTTCCTATACCACACAAGTAATTAATTGTCCGCAGATACACACTGTCCAACTTGTTTTGTTCCACGTGATGCTCTAACATGGGGTGCTTGTACAACTGTCACAATGTTGATTTCATCAATATTATAAATTCTATCAGGAGTGAAATGATGTTTTTTTAATACTTTTTCATAGTTATCAAAAAACTGATTTACATTGTGCTTATTAAAACTCGTTAAGCGAGACAAACTCGTATTTTCAGGTTTTCGAAGTGAAAGTTCTTGGTGGCGTTTCATGAAGCCTTTCAACCACATTATACCAGCTTTTATTTTTTTCAATCTATTTACTTGGAAATTTGCAAAAGTTTCATTGCATAATGAAATGCTAATTCTTGTGCTTGTTTATATGTCAACCCATAGTTCATTTTAGACCTTTTTATTAGATAGTCTTTCAACATTATTTCCTCATCTTCATTAAATACTTGTGCGACTGTATATTTACTTGTAAAACCTAACTTGGTATTTGATAATGAATTTTCATACTTACTTTAGTCTGTAATGTAAAGTATTACGTTTTAAATTATAGATATAGCAGCTTCGTTTGGCCTAATTAATCCATTTGCAACTTGGAGAACAGCATTATTGACATCTTCCTCTATGACTTCTGTCACTCTTTTTTTTTATAATTTCGAACCATTTTTATCATTATATAACCAAAGTTCAGTCCGTAAATAATAAAGCAATAAAGTGCGGGAAGTTGAAACAATGCATTAAATGATTTAATGGTTCCCCGCTCTTTTTTTTCAAAACTGCCCAAATGTCGTCTTAGAGAGTAAATAACTATTTATAGAAACAAAATAATATTTTTAAAGGAAGTTTTTTGACTCATTGTAAATAGAATAAAATATTCTATATAAAAAATGACATTAAGTTCACCACTTGTTAAAAATATGGTTAGAAAAGTCTTACAACTTTTTATCCAATTGTTTGAAATTTGTACTCGAAAACAAAAAAATCGTCTAGTTTTTCCATTTTATATCAAAGGGCAACATATTCAAGTGACAGATGTGAGGATAAATATTGTCTTCGTAAAATAATTAACTATACTTAATTTAAATACACGCGCTGTTAACCAATGCATTTTTTAAAGCTGCCCCCGTTCAAAGCCAGTGGCGAGCCCCTAATATATATATATATATATATATATATATAATTATTACAATTAATTATAAAGTTAAACTATTTTTAATTTCTTGTATATACTATTCAACTCTATTAAGTGCGAAATTCTCTAAAGAAATAGTTTTACTGTAAAACTAATTTCATGTAAAACTCTCCTTTGACAATCAATAAAGATCGTAAAACTTTACAATCGTTATTGACTGTCGAAGAAGAGTTTTACATATAATTGTCATAAGGGAATTGCTAAGGTTTTGCAATTGTTAATGATTTTTAGATACAAATATAATCAATGATTTTCCTAAGGGAATTGACTTTGTAACTATTATTGCAATTGCGGTGCTTGAATTAATTAAAAAAAGAATTAAATATTCATTTCAAAATTAAAAAAATATTAGTTCAACACAAAAATACACTTGATCAACCAGTTTACTGAAGCGATGTTAGTCTTCTTTTGAGATTGGTATTTTAGTTTGTATAAAATTTATTATCTTATTTTAATCTAAAACTTTTAGTTAACTTCTGCGCTCGAAATAATTATTTAAAGGTGATCATTGATCATACTAATCGGCTGAAATGATAAGATTTGAAAGGTAGAGGATTAAATAAATTTCCGGATGATCAAGTTTTCTATAACTTTTTATAAGCATTACTGTTTATGTAACACATAAATAACACTTTTTGTGTTAGTCAGCTTAAAGTACCTCAACGTAGTTTAACTATGCTGGTTTCCGATTTAAGTTTTACTAATTTGCCCTATTAAGGCAAATTAGTAAAACTTAAATCGGAAATTTTAGCAAAACCCTAAACTTTGACAATGTATAACTTAGGATGAGATAAAATACATGAAAAGGTATTTTTTAATATAGCTACTTCTGTTTGTGTTGAAAGAAAAAAATATGTATATATCTTTTTTGCTTAAACAGAATTTTAGATTTTTATTAAGTCTATATTTGAAATTCTTTAGGATTTCGTTCTGTCGCTTCAAATTGTTAAAAAATTATAAACAAAATTTAAAAATTCATTAATTTGAACATGATTATAGATCAAGAGAGTAAGAACTGTTATAAAATGTCTAATTCAAATTATTTCTTAAAAACATGTTCTTTTTTCATTAATAATCGTAATGTTCTTCACCTATCAAGTTATAGTACTAAAAAAAAGGATAAGTTGGTAGTTGCTACTCTTTTCCTTCTATTTCCTTCAAGGAATACAATAGAAAATTCATCTATAATGAATTTTCTAATGTTTAAGTGCAATAGTTTAAATAATTCCAGCAGTAAGCAAAGTCATAATATAAAAGAAGAATACAAGAATTTCCAGATCTGGAAATTAAGCTATAATTTAATTAAGATTCTAAAATATACCGGAATTAGTGCCGTGGCTAAGGAGTCATTGCCCCCCTTTCTTTACCAAAAATCCGTCATTAGTGGCTTGTCTTTATTTGAGTTTTAATATGTTTGATTTGCAATTTTTGCCGTTCAAACAAATTTGATCGGACAATTTGGGGAGATCTAAATATCATTTTTTCTAAAAGGAGACGATCTTTATTTTTGCTTTATTTTTTAAATGTTAAAATCTTAACTCAGGTCACTATCATCATGTCAAAAGGTAGTCGAGATATTGAATCGAATTTGAAGAGTACATCAGCAATAATACAAGCTCGAGGTGGTGGAGATATTGAGTCGAATTCGAAGAGTACAACAGCATTTGAAAATCCACCACGTTTGCAGTTAAAATGTTTTTTTAGCAAACATCCAATTCAACCACATGAACATTTGCCGTTTGATAACAAGATCTACCATAGACAAACGGACTTGAAGGATAGCATACCAAGAAATTGGTTGTCATTTAGCCAAAATTCTCAGTCTCTATATTGCTCATTTTGTGTTGCATTTGAATCACCACAGTCTAACACCGTTTCATCATTTGTGTCTGGCTTCAAAGATTTTAGACGAGTTAGCCAACGGGTTGCAGAACACGAATCAAGCAGCACTCACCGCAGGCATGTTCTTGATTACATTCGTATAATGAATAATCAAGACTTTGACAGATTTTATAGTAGAGCAATAAAGAAATATAATGATGAAGTACTGATACGGAAACAAATACTTTCTCGAGTTATTGATTTATGTAAGCAAAACATTTATGTAAGCAAACATTGCCATTTCGAGGTCATAGGAATGAAGGTGCTTATTCGTTGGACAATGATGAAGAAAATCATGGAAATTTTTTGGCTTTGGTACAGCTCTTGGCCAAATATGACCCACTTTTAGCTTCTCATCTCTCCATGTGTCAAGAGAAATCAACCAAAAGAATAGAAAAACTGAAGCGTCAAGGTAAAGCCGGAAGTAAAGGTCGCGGTGCTCTGGTTACGTTTTTAAGTAAGACTACTATATCAAAGCTTCTCAATATTATGAAAAATATGATGCAGGAACAGATTGCAATGGAAGTATCCAAAGCAAAAGTGTACTCCGTACAAGTTGATTCTACACAAGATATATCTGCAATTGACCAATTCAGCATTGTGGTTCGCTACTGTGCATGAACGGCTGCTTTCTATTGTACCAAGCAATGACGGTACTGGCCAAGGGTTGTTCGATCTCTTAAATTTGACGCTACAGCGGCTTGGCTTTAACTTGAAATACTGCCTATCGGACAGCACTGATGGTGCTTCAAGTTATCATGGCCAGTACAATGGACTGCAACAAAAGATTACAGAAGCTGCAGACCACCATGTACATATTTGGTGTTATGCTCATGTTCTCAACTTAGTTGTGAAGGAGGCAATCAGTTGCTGCATTCAGGCAGTTTCATTTTTTACCCTTTTGCAAAATGTTTCAACATTCATAAAAGTGTCATATAAGCGAATGGCAACATGGAATAAACTTGTTGAAACACAAATTGGAATGGATAAGATGAAAAGATTGAAATTGATTGATGAAACAAGGTGGTCGGGTAAATCAAATGCTGCAACAGCGATATTTGGAACATTTGCTGAGCCATCTTCAACAGTGTTTGTCAATTTAATTTTATGTCTGTCATGTATAAGCGAATCAGAAAATTTTGATACAAAGATACGTCATGAAGCTAAGACATTGCTCATGCCATTCCTGAAATTTGACACCATTTTGACTGCCTTTACCTACCTGCGAGTTTTTGAAAAAGTGGGACCACTTTCAATATACCTGCAAACTCGTGGATTAAATGTGTTGGTTACATTCAAGATGGAGGAGAAGGCCGTAATTGAATTGAAAAGTCAATCAAGACTTTTTGATGATGTTCATAATAACGCTCTTCAATTTGTACGGATGGCAAATGCAAGCATCATTCAGAGAACTGAATGATGCTTACCATATTAGAGGTAAAGATAGAACTACTAGCTCAACGGAAGCGGAAGACACCAACAATGTTAGATGAACATACAGTAGACAAACGTGACGAATCTAAAGCTTTTGAACATTTCAAAACTCACACTTACAATGTGGTGATGGATCAGGTAGTCCAAAGTCTTGAGTCACGTTTCACTTCACATCGACAATTATATATGGACATGGCATGTTTTGATACATTAAACTTTGGTAATCTTGCCATTTCGGGAATTCCTGAAAACAGTTTACACAGCATTATTAAATTTTTACCAGATGCCGACGTTGATAAAATAAAGGCCGAATTGTTATCATTTGTCACTAACTATGAGATTTTGAAATTGTCCTTGCCCTTAACAACAACATTGAGAGAGAATGCATATCAAAAGGATGACATAGAAGAACCGCTTTGTTATCAGCATACAAATGGAGCATGCGGATCGTGTCCATCTTGTGTGTTACGAATTCTTGCTGCATATAGACTCAACGACAAAACCTATGACAATTTGTATCATATTTATAAAATAATATGTACTATTTCTGTAACACAAGCCGAATGTGAAAGATCGTTTTCTAAGTTAAAGTTAATCAAGACAAGATTGCGTAATTCTATGTCAAATGACCACTTAGAGTCGTATATGTTGATGTCTGTAGAAAAAAATCTACTTGATAGCCTTGAGTATGATACGATCATTCAAAGATATGGATCTTCGTCCTCTGAATTGAGCAAACTGTTTAAAGAATAGTTATTGCTATACTTTGCACTGTGCAATTTGCACATCACTTCTACTTTTCTAATTCAATATAATTTTATCAATCTGTGATTTAATTGCCCCTCTTAAGACTTATTTTTAGAGAGTTGCGAACCGGACAGTCTTTGCGATATGTGTATGGCCGGGAGGGCCCTTTAATTATTTTCATGGCCGGTAATATATATACAGCCAGTCCGCCACTGTTCAAAGCTGTCCCCTTCTCCCCCATATCAGTTTTATTATTTAAACAATGAAAATAGTTTAGAAAACAAGGTTTTCAAAGTAACATTGTTTTAAGGTAGATATTATAAACAATATTAGAAATTTAAGGTGGTACTACCCTATTAAAAACATCAAAAAACAAAATTTTTTTTTTCAAATTTAACAGTTTGAAAATCCTGAATTACGAGTATAATTTTTTTTCCCTTCAAAAATTAGTATAAAATACTTAAATTAGTATTTAAAGGCAACAAGGTAATTTCTGAATCCCTAGCAACGGCCTTAGCAACCATGTCTGTTTTTATGTTTGCCCTATTTTCACAACTTTTTTGTTAGTTTAGTAAAAAGGTTATTTTGACACAGAACAAAATATTAAAGGTGGTTAATCATATTTTTGTCGTCAGTTTGGATATTTTTTTATAAGAGATTTTTTTAGTTTATGTCATTTTTTATTTTAAAAGCTGTTTTTCTCAGAATAATATTTTTCAAATATTTTTTTATTTTATTTTTTTTTCTTATTTTTCAATTTTTTGCCATAGAAAGTTACAATTTATAAAATAACATAAATAATAAAACAAATGGCTGGAGCAAGAAGAAGACATCAGTTTGTCTTATCACCGAGCCCCATAGTGACTTCATTACAGGTCGTTTTTTACAACAAAATATATAAAATCGTGATAAATTGTTTGTGATAAAATATGTAAAAATGTGAAAAACTACGTTTTACAATTGATATAACTGTTTATATATAAATTCGTTTAGTAAAATAAATTTAGAACAAGTAAAAGTTAAAACAAATAAAAGAAATAAATTGTGCTAGTTTATTTTATACTAAAAAAGAAAAAGAAAATTTAAGTCCGTAGATAATAAAAAACGCTTTGATTCAGATTTGAACTGTTCAAGTGTATTTCTTTTGATAGAAACAATCTGGGGAAAAATTTTCCACAAATAAGGTCCGCGGTGTTGGATTGAGTATGAATTTAACTTTAATGTAAATTTTGGGATGACAAAGTTGTTATATGAGAATCTAGTAGGGTATTTATGACTTATTTCGCTAAAATAGGGTTGAAATATCGGCGGAGATTTTTTATTTTGTACATAAACTGTAAAACAAGATGTATGTTAATTTTGTATATATTCAATGCTCCAAGTTTGCATAAGAGAGGTTCACCAGACGCTTTTTTACTTACTCCGAAGACAATTCTACAGGCATGTTTTTGTTTACTGTAGAGTTTTTTAAGCTTAGTACAGTTTGTGCTTGCCCAGGCCATGTTACCATAGCTTAGATGACTATGTATTAATGAAAAGTATAAACTTCTTAAGGAAATGATATTTAGGAAAGGTTTTGCTTTATACATTAATGAAATATTTCTTGAGAGCTTTCTCTCTAAAGTGTTTATATGGAGCTTCCACGACAAATTTTCATCCAAGACCACACCTAGAAAGTCTATAAAATTTTCTCTTTTTATATTAGTATTATTCATTTTAAGATCAGGTAGTTTAAGAGGAATATTTTCGTTTTTATTTGGTTTATGAAATAGGATGAACTTGGTTTTTTTGACATTCAAAGAGAGTTTGTTACACCTAAACCACTCATTTATTTTATGTAATTCTTTGTTAACTATGTTAAAAAGTGTCCTAATATCTCTATGCGAATAAAACAAATTGGAGTCATCCGCAAACAAGATTAAGTTTAATAAGTTTGATGTTGAATATAAATCATTTATATAGAGTAAAAATAATAATGGTCCCAAGATCGAGCCTTGGGGAACCCCGCAAGTTATGGCGCTATTTGTTGTTTTTGTTGTTTCATGCTGAATATATTGCTTTCGGTTTGATAAATAATCTTTAAACCAAAGTAAGTTATTATTTTTTACTCCATACACTTCGAGTTTTTTTAGAAGAATGTCGTGATTTACGGTATCAAAAGCTTTAGAAAGATCAATAAAAACTCCTAGCGTAAAGCAATCATTACTAAAAGCATTAGATATTTGATTAACTAGCTCAATTATAGCATGGTCGGTTGAGTGGTTTTTTTTAAATCCAAATTGTTTACCGTATAAAAAATTGTTTTCCGTCAAATAATTGTAAAGTCTATTATACATGACGCGTTCTAGTAATTTGGAAAAACATGGTAAAACTGATATAGGTCTATAATTATTAGTATCAAAATCATCTCCAGATTTAGAAATAGGGGTGACTCGAGTAATTTTTAGTTTATCCGGGACAATGCCTGATTTTAGCGAAAGATCGAAGATGTGGTGCAATGATGGTTCAATGATATCAAATACTGATTTTACGACAAAGCTACTGATATTATCAAAGCCCGCACTTTTGTTGTTTTTTAGATTGTTTAAAGCGGATCGCAGTTCATTAGAATCTAGGTGTGTTTCTTTCATAATCTTTTCTGTGGTAAGGTTCTTAATCAAGTAAGAATGAAATGTTGCAGAACTCGACGGAATTTCTGCTGCTAAATTGTGACCCACGTTAAGAAAAAAGCTATTTAGATATTCAGCTATTATTATCTTATCACTGACTAATTTACCATCAATTAAAAGCTTTTTCGGGAGATTGCTTTTTGTACAGTTATTATTACCGATTATCTCTTTAATCGAATTCCATGTTTTCTTAGCATTGTCATGGTTTTTTTTTAACAAATTTGAATAATAAAGCTTTTTTGAGTATTGTTTTGTTTTTTCAAACAAGTTTTTATAATTTTTATAAGTTATTTCATTTTTATAAGTTTTATTTTTTAGGAATTTGTCGTAGAGTTTTTGTTTTTTTCTTGAGGATTTGATTAAACCTTTAGACATCCAAGGAGTTAGAAGTGACTTTTTGTTTATAACAACAGTTTTAACTGGAAATGCTTTTTCATAATATTTACAAAATTGAACTAGAAAAAGTTCGTAGGCGTTGTTCGCATCGCTTGATTGCAATATAAGATCCCAATCAACATTGTTTTTTAGTAAACTTTTAAATTTTTGTAAGGAGTTTTCATTGATCTCTCGTTTGTATAAAGGAGGTTTGGGAGAGGTATTGTTTGATGCTATGTTTTTAGTAGTTAAGAAGATGGGAAAATGATCTGAATAGTCTGTCTTAATTATACCGGTAAAAACATGGGAATTGTTGGTTATTATATTATTGACTAAGGTAGAAGAATTTTTAGTTACTCTGGTTGGCTTGATAATTGTTGGAATGAAATTGTGCTCAAGTAGAGTATCAACAAAATGTTTAACACTATTATTAGATGTATGCTTCAACAAATTAATATTTATATCACCAACTATGTAAACATGCTTTTGTGCGTTATTAAATTTGTTTAAGAATGAGCTAAGATGAGTTTTGAATGTTTTAAAATTCCCACCTGGTTGTCTATAAATAGTATTTATGATTATGTTTTTAGAGTTTTTATTAACTAATTCTATGCATAATGACTCACAACCTGTTTCATTCACACTAAGATCCCTACGCAAAATAAAGTCGATTGAATTGTGGATATAAACACTTACGCCTCCTCCAGCATGAATTTTACGCGGTTGGTGAACAGATGTATAATTTTTTAATTCAAATTGTGGATTTTTTTCACATTCACACCAAGTCTCTGTAAAACAAATAATGCCGAAATCGTGTTTTATTTCGTCAAGTAAAAATTTAAAATTTTCAAAGTTTTTGTTAAGACTTCGTATATTAATATTTAATATTGAAAATGAGACTTTGTTTTGGTGAAAATATTTTGCGGTTTGGGAAATTGAGTAGTAATTACTTTCATATGTTATTTGATCAAAGTATTTTGTATATGTATCTTTATCACTGAGACTTAAATTTTCAGGAGAATATTTTAATTGCAAGTTGCCCTCCATTTAAAAATTAATAAAAATAATAAAAAAAACAACTAAATATAAAGAAAAAAAAGAATAAAGATACTTATTTAGTGTTCCGATTTAACTCCTTCACAATCAGTTTATCATATGCTAAAACTGCATATTTTCCGGAATTTCTTGCAATCTTCATTTTCTCAATAAAATTACGTCGTATTTTATTTGTTTCTTCCGAAAAGTCCTCGTTTATAAAGATCCCTTTTCCTTTTAGTTTCTTTGCATTTTTCAAGATTAGTTCTTTATCTTTATAATTTAACAGTTTAAGTATAACAGTTCTTGGGGTATCCATATTATTATAAACTTTTCCAATTCTGTGTGCCCTTTCTATTACTATATTTTTTAGCTGAAGCTGTTCATTAAAAATTGTTTGAAGTTTTTGTTCAGTATTTTGCCAAGTTTCTCGTTCATTTTTTCGTAACCCAGCGGGCACGCGGACGTCCATTAGACGTCCATGGACGTCCGAAATCGGACGAACGGACGTCCGAAATCGGACGAACGGACGTCCGTTTTGGACGTCCATAAGACGTCCTATGGACGACGGAATGAAACGGCATTCGTCCGTCCATTTTGGACTTCTATAGACGTCCGTGGTATGTATATGTCTTACTAAACAGCCTAGATAGATATTCTAATCAGATATCTGTGACAGAGTATATATATCATTTTAAAAATTCTGATCAGAATTTCAAATGAATAAAAAAGGTGTGTTAAACTCAAAACAACTGAAATGTGTAAAATTCATTTACTTTTAAAAATAATCTATATACAAAGAAACAATTTTATGTTGCTTCTTCTTCGTGAACGTCAACATTGCTAATTGTTTTCACTTTCGGCAATGCCCGCTTCAATAAATCTCCAACAAGGGCTTCGATAGTTGCGGCATCATAACCAGTTCTTTCGGATACTAAGCCTTCTAAAAAAACATAAAAGTAAATTGCAATTGTTGGTCTTCTGAACAAAGAAATTATTTTTATTTAAACAATTTTACAAGCTGTAATACCTATATAGCTATAAATATAAATATATATATACACATATATTTATATATATTATTTATATATATTATTTATATATATATATATATATATATATATATATATATATATATATATATATATATATATATATATATATATATATATATATATATATATATATATATATAGGTAAAAATATATATATAGGTATATATATATATATATATATATAGGTAAAAATATATATATATGTATATATATATATATATATATATATATATATATATATATATATATATATATATATATATATATATATATATATATATATATATATATATATATATATATATATATATATAGGTAAAAATATATATATAGGTATATATATATATATATATATAGGTAAAAATATATATATATGTATATATATATATATATATATATATATATATATATATATATATATATAGGTAAAAATTTAACTTTTTTAAAAATCAAATTAAGAAAGCACAATACAATGATTGCCTCACCTTTAATACAATTGTAATGTTGCGTAGCTGTAAACTTAAGCTTGCCTTTCAATCCATCTTTACTAAATAAGTTTTGGACTTGTGGCACCATCAACTGGTTTAAAACATTTTTGACAGTTTTGCGGGCTGTTGCACCACCAACAGCTTTGATTTGAGTGATCTGAAAATTTGTAAAATCTAATAAGTTCTAAAACCTAATAACGTAAAACTTAAATTTTATATTACAACTTTACATTTTTACAAACATAATTTTTTAACTATACAAGAAACATTCCTGGAATCACCAGTAGGAACATAATAGATTACTGTTTCATTAGAGTTAAAAACAAATAACATACAACTACGTCACCTGTTTTAATATTGTAGAATATACTTTTGCAAATTTTTACCTTGTTTTTCCTAGCGCTAGAACTTGCTCTAAGATTTTCTTCTTCATTATTAAAACACCCAATATCTCTGTGTGGGATTGCAATTATGGCACCCAAATCAATAGTGTCACTTTTTGGATGTGTTTCCAGGTTCTCTAATCGCTCCATAATTTTAACTTGATTTTGCTGCAATGAATCTAGTTTCATTAGCATTGCATACTGAAACTCTAAACATAAATTCGTTATTTGTAGCCTACAGGAAAAATTGTTAATAAAACTAGAGATAAATTTAGCTTTAAAATTAGAGAAAATAGAGAAAGGTTATTAGATCAGAGAAATAAAGATCATTATAAACCTTAAAAACTTACGTTTGTCATCACAAACCTTAATATCATGCAAAAACTTACGTTTGTCATCACAAACCTTAATATCATGCAAAAACTTACGTTTGTTTGTCATCTCCTTAAATGAAACACCACCATCACCAATCTTGAAAGATGTAGAACTTTTAGTAAAATGATATGATTCTAAATCCGATTGTTGTGAGTCTTCATTCGATCTTAACTGTACTACACACCCCATTTTACTTTTACTTCTTTTCCATGGAGATAATAGTGGCACATCCAATTGATTTGGTGATGAAGAACCAGATGTTGTGCAACTTAAAGCATGCAAATTTGGACTAGGAACTCGTTCCTTTGGGTGGAGCATATTTGAAACTATAAAATCAAAAAACATAGAATAATAAACAAAATATCTCAAGAACAAACCAATTGCACATATTAATGCTCAATACAAATTATCATATCATAAATTGTATTCTCATTTTATAAATTTTTTTGTTTATTCTAATTTCTTCACAGTCTAAGGGCAACTAATTTTAAATTATTTTTTTAAACCCTATCTCAAGCTTATAACTACGAAAAAATAATCTTGGTGAACAAAGAAATATTACAAAGAAAGTTTATAAAAAATGTAACTTTTCACAAATCATATAACAGTATAACATCTGCCAAAAAATAATTCTTTAAAACATATAAACGAATAAATAGGTATATAAACTTACCAGGGCGATCATCATTTTCATCTTCAGTTAAAAAGTTTAGCATTGCCTGACATGTTTCATAACTCCCAGACTCCAAAATATATTCTAATAATATAAACTCTTGCCAGCCAGGTTCTAGACTAGCCCATTCAGATAGATAAACACCCACAGGTTTTTTACCTCGAGGGGGATAGTATACTATACCTTCGTCTGCATTGACCCAGTGAATAGGCACTACTGTCTTAGTGTCAATACCATCTTCTTTAATTGCAACAGTACTGTACAATCTACAATTTTAGATAATTATTAATTAAGTCTCTATTAATTAAAATTGTTGTGAGTACCAATTAAATTTACTATTTATTCTATACAATACATCAATTCCGAATTGTAACTCTTGGATATTTAAAAATGTTATGAGGATAAATTTTTATTTTTATAAAACATATGATTGTAGAAATAAGCTTCATAATTAAAAATAGATAAACCTTTAATAAATACGTATATATACACTTACAATAGAGTTTTTGGTGAGCAAAAGGTGATCAAACATGCTCACTAATTTCCTTAAGAATTTTAATGAAAAAGAGGGAAAAAGAAGAGTCATGAAAATAAATTGATCCCTGCCACAACCCAAACTTTTGGACGTGTTATCAACTCCCTCCGCAAGTCCTCCCTAAATCAGTTGATATATGTACTGAAAACCTTGCCTATCAGTAACGCCTCATAGCGCTAACTAAAGTATGCAACATTATTTGTATAACAACAAAAAAACAATTTTCAAAAATCCACATTATTTAATAAAGATATTACAACTTTGTTATTTTTATATGGAATATACACACATTTTCTAAGTAAGTCATGTATGTTTAGTGTTTGGATTGCTGAACAGTTATGGTTTTTGATATAGTATATATTAAGTATCTTAGATTCTAAAAAGCTGTCAAAGAAATTATTTAAATGATTCTTTTTATAAATGTCACAAACTAATTGATCATTTGGTAAAATGTTTTTAACAAAAACAACAAAATCTTTTGTCATGAAACAAGCATTCTTGGAAACATCAATTTTAGTTATTAATTTTGCTTTAAGTGGATCATCTGATTTATGTTCGCTTAAGCGTTTTGCAAGTTCTACTAAAGGATTTTGTGTACCTCGAACTTATCTTTTTAATTGTTGCAAAAAATTCTCAAACTGGAAACAAGAAATCTCGTCCAAACTGCTTTGAAAATGTTCAACATCATCTGTTATATGCAGAAGACAGTGAACATTGTAGACACAAAATGTTTCACCAAAATGTTCATGAGCATTTGAAACAAAATACTCCAAGAGTTTTTGTGCATGACTCAAATATGTTTTCCTAATAACATTATTCTCCTCACACAACATACGGATTGCCAAAGATAAGCTGAGAAAATGTTTGTACATCTGAGGATTGAGAATATCCTTTAAAACAACAATACCCACATATAGTAAGAATGTTCTTAGTTCTGTGGCTTTCCATCTATTTACATCTTCTAAAGATCTTGTTTGACGTACAAAATCTGATGGCAATTTTCCATTTAAATTAGCGAGTAAACGAGAAATTTCTTTTAAATAAGGTGTTGATAAACGACCATTAAGTATTCTGGCATATGTACCTTTGTAGTAATATAACATACGTCTCGTAACACCTAAATTAACTAAGTGCATATAGTCAAGAGCAAAATCCTGAATCATGTCTAAATCTTCAACATCAAACAGTGGAGTTCTTGTATGAAGATGGCACCGACCATCATTGTCTTTTTGAGAGTATAATCCGGCTTTTAAATCAGCATTGTTTCTATTTGTAACTGTTTCCTGACATTTATCATAAACAATACGACCATGAACAGAAAAACCAGACAAATTGCATCTCTCGCATGCATAGTATCCAGAATGTTCAACTGTGCCTTTTAAAAGCGCCCTACCAGGGGCATCACATGTTATTGCAAACAAAAAAATATTGAAGATCTTACCAAGTATTTCTTCAGGTTGTTTGAAAGTTTTTAACTCTTCTGCAAAATCTGCTAATAATTCAGAAGCACACGGTTTTATTTTACCGCCATACAATCCAACAACAAACAGTTTAAAATATCCAAACTGACAAAGTATAGGCCAAACTTGGTAGGCACTGGATTTAAATAGTGGTAGACCATCGACATTACATATAAGATTAATTTTAGTGGAGTTGAAGTCTTGAAATTGCAATATGTTTTCAATACCTTGTTTTATGCCAAAATAAATGTAACTTCCATTTCTCAAAGATGCTGTTTTCACAACTCTTCTTGTACACAAAAGTGTCCTTGCATCTTTTGGCATTTCCTGGTGCCCATGACGATTTAAAATAGTCAATAAATCATTGGTACATTGCCGTGTGCAGTTGTGTTTTAAACTCCAAATTTTTATTTCTTTTTGAAAAATAACTGTTTCAAATGGCTCTTTTTCAATATAACTATCATTTAGAGACAAATACATTTTATCCTGATCCCCGCCTTTATTATCTATGAATCTCTCTCCCTGATTTTCAATAATTGAATCAGAAGACAAAACATATCTTTGTTGCAATGCATTACTAAATGTTGGTCTTGAGCCAGTAGTTAAACTTGGATATATTACATTATCTGCAGCAAAATTACATACAGATTCACTATCTGCACTCTGATCTTCAAAATCTGAACTTTTTACATCTTCCTTTTGATTAAAAGATTGAGAAAATTCGCAGACAGCTTTTCTTGAATTTCTCCAGTCTGTAAGCCGCTTTCTACTAAATTTAAAATCTATTACTTTACCTTGTATATAAAATATAAATAAGATGCAACTATATGGCTGCATCTTATTTAGCCTTTTCTTTTTTATCTTACATATGGCAATAACACGATAGTTTATTATTTATTTAAATGTAAAGTTTCGTAACAAATTTATATATATATAATTATTTATATATATGTATATATATATATATATATATATATATATATATATATATATATATATATATATATATATATATAGAGAGAGAGAGAGAGAGAGAGAGAGAGAGAGAGAGAGAGACGTTTACAATTATATATTTAGATATATATATAATTAGACACATAAAATTTTTATAATAATATTTACACATATATAATTGTATTTAAATATATATTATACATTAATAATGTCAATGTTATAAATGTTATATAACATATTAATTTTAGTATTCAAATGTATAGTTTAATATATAATATAAAATAAATATAATATAATATAGTATAAATATAAGTATATATATATATATATATATATATATATATATATATATATATATATATATATATATATATATATTATATATATATATATATATATATATATATATATATATATATATATATATATATATATATATATATATATATATAATATAATATAATATAATATAAAATAAATATAATATAATATAGTATAAATATAAGTATACATACATATATATATATATATATATATATATATATATATATATATATATATATATATATATATATATATATATATATATATATATATATGTATATATATATATATATATAAATATATATATATATATATATATATATATATATATATATATATATATATATATATATAATATAAAATAAAAGTAAAACTTATTATTACATTATATATATATATATATATATATAAATATATATTTATATATATATATATATATATATATATATATATATACATATATATATATATATATATATATATATATATATATATATATATATATATATATATATATATATATATATATATATAAATATATATTTGTATTATATTATATATTTGAATACTAAATTTAGTATTCAATTATATAATATAACATGCAAAAATTTTAATAATGTTTACATATATAATTATAATTAAATATATATTATACATTAATAATGTCAATGTTAAAAATGTTATAAAACATATAAATTTAAATTTATATGGTTTATAACATTTTTAAAATTGACATTATTAATGTATAATATATATTTAATTATAATTATATATGTAAACATTATTAAAATTTTTGCATGTATCTAATTATGAAAAGAAATTAAATTACATTTAATATAAAATACATTAAAACCCAGTCGTACCTTTGTTTTTTCTTATCGATAGAAACAGTTTTTCTTTTTGTTGATCTAAAACTTGAATCCATTATATTATACTAGGAGTAAAATTTAATAATATAACTTGAAGAAGATGATTTGAGTTTTGAAGAGTAGCGCTAAACTTTAAAAACACATGGTTCTGTCGACCTGTTTTGGACGTCTAAACAGGTCCATTTTAGACTTGGACGAGCGGACGAAATTAGGACGTCCTATGGACGTCTAAATTGGTCCTTTTTAGACGTGGACGAACGGACGAACTTAGTACGTCCTATGAACGTCCTAGGACGTCCTGTGCCCGCTGGGAATCCGTAAATTCTTATATTATTTCTTCTATTTCTGTCTTCAAGTATTCTCATCTTTTCTTTTAGCTCGTGGCATAAGATTTTTGCTTTGTCTAGATTTTCTTGTACGTAAACGGTTTTATTTGAAACGTTTGCAATTTCGCTATTAATAACTTTGTTTAAATCTTTATTAAGAGATATAATTTTTTCATCGATCAAAGTATCCTGAGTGAACTCAATACTTTTCTGAAGGTCTTCAACAGTTTGTTGTAAAGTTTTTTGTTTTTCTTCTACTAAAAACAACCGTTTAGTTATTGACTCGATTGATTTTAAGATTTTATCCATTTAATCATTTTGAATTGTTGCATTTCCAGAAATAATCTTTAGAATTGAATTTTCTTGTACTTTAAATTTTTCTTCCAACATACTTTCAATGTCTTTTTTGCTTGCCATGTTTAATTTAATTATATTTTTTAAGTATAAATATATAAATCTGTAGATATATATTTATAAATTTTTAAGTTCACTTTTAAGAAATATTTACGTCCGTTCGTAAAGAAAACTATGCTGAATATTTTTAAACAAGAACATTAATATCTCAGAAACTATTTACTCTTTTTCTTTGAAATTTTCACAGCTTGATGTTGTAGAAAGGGCTGGTAGTAAAATAATCAAAAAATACTTATTATTTCGACCAGAATTTAAAATTTTACATACCCCACGAACCATTTTTTATGATTTTTACAGGGTAATATCTGCCATTTTACTTTGGCTCTGTAGTTTTAAAAAATTCTACTAAGGGCCCTCCATCAATCATTTAGCAATATGTTTGTAAAATTTAAAGCTTTTATCTCAAATTTTACTCAAGTTATTTATGTTCTTGTGACCGCATGTTTTTTGCTTTTTTTTTGCTGACTTTTTTATACAAATAATTAAAAAAATGATGTTTTTTATATTCAGTTTTTTAACTACTATTGAAAAATGTTTATCATTCAAAGAAAAATATCATATTGAAAAACAAAAAATGTAGGGTAGTACCTTAAATAAAATAAGAAATGTAGCTTTTTAGAAAAACCTTATACAATACTTAAATTTTACAAGACTAACTCTTACTTAATCGTGGTCCGCAACACTTGTTCTAATTTCACGTCAGTTTTCGGACTATTTTATTATGCTTACGTTGTTTCCTATTTTACTTTGCTTTTCTGTGGTTTAAAATTTCTTAAATTTAATAAAATTTATATATTATTTAACAGTTTTGGAAAATATTTGATTTTAAATAACTTTTTTGACATCTAACATTTTTAGATCGGTTTTTCAAAGTTTTTTCGGTTACGGTTCGGTTTTTACTTTATTTTAAATAAATAGATCGGTTGGGTTCGATTCAGTTTTTTTGTTTCGGTTTTCACCGAAAGAACGGTTCGGTTCGCTCAACCGCATGGCAGTTGCATTTTATTTTTTGAAGCGACTTTATGTGGTAATAAAGGAAATCAGTATAACTAGCGTAAATTTTTATGCAATAATTAACGGCTATCGTTTAATTAAAACGCTATGAAATTTTTTGTGTTGTTAAAATATTACCATCACGCATGAATAAATCTGTGGCACGGAAATTTGATGCTAAAATAATAAAATTTCATTTTTCATAAAGGAAAATATGTTAGCTAGAAAACCGTTCCGTTCTTATTAAAAACAATTCATAGAGTTTAGTTTTGACGTTATTTAAAGATACCATTATTGTGTACTATAAGCATACTCAAATTACTCAGTACACTTTATTGAAATTACCTAGTTTTAAGTCCTTAAAATTGCAGTGGTTTTAATTGCTTTTGAATAAAAACAAAATATAGTAACTATTTTTACAATACTAATACTTTAACAATACTCAATATTTATATGTATCTATAAATATTCATCTAGTATCTAGTAGATACTATTTAGAGAGATTTTATTGGACAAAATGTGAAGCCGCTCTTTTTGTTTACAAATTTAACCCGCTATTTGTAAAACGGGCAAATATTGTATATATTAGCTGACCAGACCCGATAAAATACGGGTCTTCGTAAGTCTATTCCACATCGACTTTTTCTATACTTTTTCCTTAGTGAAAAAAGTACGTACGCTCGGAAGGGAAGAGGGTGTCTGCAAATAGTGTATATAAGGTGGAGGCAGGTGGTCAATTATAAAAATAAGGAGACACTAAATTATTTCTAAAAATTATTATTATTTAAAAAAATACAAAAAAATGTTAAGTAGGTAGGTTAAAATTGTTGGTTCTTTTAGAAAAGTGGAGGGTGATCAAGAAAGCGTATAGCAAAATGCGGTAGAGTCGTGTAGTGTCAAAATAAAAGCGTACGTACTTTATGGACGACCCCTTTTTTAAATATTCTAGCTTTCCGGACCCGTAAAATACGGGTCTTTACCAAACCTACCATTTCCATACTTATGTATTCTCCACCGATCATTTCTATTCCTAAATCTTATTTACTTCAATATTTTTATAATAATTAATTATGAAAAATTGCTATAAGAGCAAAAAAATTTATGTTCAAGCAAAAAAATTGCTTTAAGAGCAAAAAAAAATAAATAGCTTTTATACATCAAGTTTGTTTTTGCATATATATTAAATTTTTGATTAATTTTACCATTGTTATCCTCGCAGTCAGAAATACGTCATAATCTTTGCCGCGAACAGCTACCATTTTAGTTGCTGGAAAATAAACTTTCGTTCTAAAACAAAAACAATGGCATAACATAAAAGTTTTTAAAATGCGCAAGAGTTGTTGTGTGTTTAGATGATTTTTGATACACACACACACACACACACACACACACACACACACACACACACACACACACACACACACACACACACAGATATATATATATATACACATATATATTTTTTATATGATGATTTTGTTATTTTAAGTCAACTCTAGTGACTAAGATGGTTTTGTTGTTTTAAACGCACAAGTCAGACAACTTGTGTTTTCAAAACTAGAGCTTAACGTCGTGTGAAAAACTTCCTGCATCTAGCCAAAGCCAAAACATTTATAAGCATCTAATGCTTCGTAATTATCTATAGCCTCAAAAAAAAATATTGTTGGACTTTTTATTAAATATTTATAAACGTCATGGTATTCAACTCATGGCCATTCATCTTTTCAAGTATTTGCAAGGAACTTGTATATATATCAGTTGATTCCAAGGATTGCAAGTTTATTTATATACCTTTCTGCGTCGTTAAAATCTATTTTTTTAAAGTATTCGTAAACCGACTTTTTTTTTTAAAACTCTTTAATCCACTTTTTCGTACAAATTCTCCTGCTTTATTAACTCAACTAATCATTTGTTTTCCCCCATCCAAGATGGTAACAACTTGCGCTATTGTTATTTTGTATAACAACGTGACTTTCCGACTGCGATTACAAAATATACCAGTATATTTTGTAATATTTCTTTTATTGTATAACGATTTTTATCTTAACTATCTTGTATAAATTTATTAAATATTTAAGGAAAGAACCTAAAAAAAATACTTATAATAAGTTTACTCATTTTATTATTATTATTATCATCATTATTATTATTATTATTATATTATTTAATTTATATTATTGTTATTATGTATATAAAAAAAAAAGTTTCAGTTTTTTAAAAAACAAATAATGTAATTATTTTAGGCCGCTAAACTGCAGGTTTACCCATTTAAAACTAAACTATCTATTTTACCCATTTAAAACTAAACTATCTATGGCTAAACAATCGATGTCAACGAGTGGTTATAAACAGCATTACTTCTGAATGGAAAGCAGTCAATAGTGGAGTGCCTCAAGGCTCAGTCTTGGGCCCATTGCTATTCGTAATTTTTGTAAACGACCTGCCGGACAGAATAACTCATCATATGAAACTGTTTGCCGACGACAGCAAAATAATAGGGATAATTAAAAAGGAGTCGGACAGCACCACTCTCCAAAATGACGTTGACAGAGCAGTGGAATGGTCACACATTTGGCTCTTGCATTTCAACGTTGAGAAAAGCAAAGTAATGGATGTTGGGCGCGGATGTAACAAGTCGACGTACAAATACTCAATGTCTAACGTCAACGGTACCCGTCGTCCTCTCGAAAAAACCGTAGTCGAAAGAGACCTTGGTGTGATGGTCTCCAATGATCTTAAAGTGAGACCGCAAATAGAGTCAGCCGCATCAATAGCAAATAGAATGCTAGGGCGACTCAAAAAAACATTTCGCAGTCGCAGTTTTTATTTATGGCGCACTCTGTATCTCACTTACATTCGCCCCCATCTTGAGTTTGCTGTACAAGCCTGGTCACCGCATTTAAAATCAGACATTAACATTCTCGAGCAGGTCCAACAACGAGCAACAAAAACAATATCGACTATTAAACACCTGTCTTATGAAGATTGACTCCAACGGCTTGGTTTAACAACTCTTAAAGAACGCCACAAAAGAGCAGATCTTATCGAGCAATTCAAAATCATTCGTAAACTCGAGCTTGTCAGTTTTGTCGTCCCGCAAAAATTTTCAAAAAGTAAAGATAAGTATATTCTAAGAGGCCATAACCATAAACTAAAACGTTATATGGTAAAAAACTGTGAGGAGCGATTTAACTTTTTTCAAACAGAATTGTCGCCCCATGGAATGCGCTTTCGCCACTGATCTCTATAATAACTGGATAGCGCATCTCTAATATCAAAAGTGAAGCCAATATTTTGTACGGCCGCCATATTGGAAAGCCCCAGAATACCGAAAATACAGTGATTGCGCTTGAAGATGTACCTTTTTACTTCGTTTATATCTACTCGACCAAGTCACATATTTCAATGATATTATTATATTTAAAATGTTTGAAGGTGTAAAAATTATAAAAAGGAATCAAAAACACGCAAAACATTAACGACGAAGAGAAATATCGCTATAAAGAAATAATAAAATTTGTATTGCTTTCTATGAACTTGTTAAATTTATTGAATTCATGGTATTCTAAATAAAACTTTTCTAAAAGACAAATTG